TGGACGCGCTCAAAACTCTCCAAAAACTCTCCTAATATATATATAAATATATATATATTAGATTATAATTTCAAAAAATTTAAGATAAAAATTTTAAAAAATAATATTCCGTAAGTAAATTGTTAACTTAGAGTTTTATTTTCAATAAAACTTCTCATGTTTCTCACATATAAAATAAATTATAATTTTAAATATATATATATATATGGTATGGAGTAGTTATTATACAAATATATTCTGGTCAGGTTTGATCAATAATGCCTTCTAAGAAATAATCATTACGTTATATATATTTCATACGTAGCAAATTAATGTAATGAGTATTAAAACATAATTAAGGATATATATTATAGAATGAGCCCGGGGCATCGTCCGGGGTACGTACTAGTATATATGTAAAGGAGAGTTTTTGGAGAGCTTTGAGCGCGTCCACGTAGGATTCTATTTTGTCGTTATGCCATGTAAGCATAATGTCACGTAAGCATAATAATAAACTAATTTTGACTTTATCTTTTTATCATTTAAGATAACTAAAAAATTATATAAAATGATTATTTAAAATAAAATATTTTATATAAAAAAATATAACACCCTAGGTTCTTTCACCGCCCTAAGTACATCAACCACCCTAGGTGTCTTTCACCACCCTAAGTCCTCAGACCACACAAGTTACGTACTTGAACCACCCTATGTCATTACCACCCTAGGTAACTTCAGCACTTTAGGTCCTGACACCACCCTAGGTTCTTAAACCACCCTAGGTACTTGAACCACCATGTGTTCTTTCACAACCCTAGGTAATTGAACCACCCTATGAACCACCCTAGGTTCTTTCACCACCCTAAGTACATCAACCACCCTAGGTGTCTTTCACCACCCTAAGTCCTCAGACCACCCAATTTACGTACTTAAACCACCCTAGGTCATTACCACCCTAAGTACATTAACCACCCTAGGTGCTTGAACCACCACCCTAGGTAATTGAACCACCCTAGGTTCTTTCACCACCCTAAGTACATCAACCACCCTAGGTGCATTGTTCTCTTTCTTCTAGTTTCCCCAACTTCCAGCCCTACTTTCCTTCATGATTACCTATGTTATAGGGTTAAATTCATCAACTATGCCATTTCATTTAATTGAGAAATATAGTTAGAGAAAACTTTGAATCCAACTTTATTCTACTAGATAACACATACAAACTTAGCTAACTTTGATTGTTGTCTTATATATCCCTTTTTTTAACATATTGTTTTATTGTGAGATCGTCTTTTTCATTTATAATTCTTATTACACGTATTCAAAATTAAGTATTAAATTTAATTTTTTATTTGATGTTTGTCAAACTTAACTAAATCATTTATTAAGTTGGGTCTATAACTAAAATTTACTTAAAAATACAACTTTTTTTAACCAACTTACAATCCCTTTTGTAAGAATTAAAATTTTCTTCACAATACTATTTGGATATTTTCGTATTGTTTTAAGTTTCAAAACTTGCATAACTATCTTTATAACCACAATTTCATTATATTGCTTTCTATACATCGCATATATTGAAAAAACGATGGAATCTAATGGACAAAACAAAACCATATGACCCGGGGCAATGCCAGGACCACAATGCTAGTTAAATATGAAAATATGAGAATTAATATAGATAGAGTACAATAGCTTAATTAATATGAAAATATGGAAACTTGCACAATGCTACCACGAAACCAACCTTTTCCCTTCCCCGACCCCGAAACAACGATTATTTTAATAATAGGGGTTAATAGTAGGAGAACCCTAGGATGCAAGTTCTAGGTTAAGCAATCTAAAAGAGTTGCATAGTTCATTGATGTAGTAGGTGTAACCAATCTAGTCATATCCAACTTTATATTATTGAGTTTGAAGGGATTAAACTTAATTCCCGTATAGTAAATGAAATCGCCTTATCCTAACAAACCAAGAAAAATATAACAAGGGTCACAAACATGATTAAACTCAATTCCTATTGTCGGCCATAAATTTTCTTTCTTTTAAATCATTGTTTTTGGTTCAAGATCAGGCTCCACTTTACATCTAAATCAAGATAGGCATTCGCAATAAGTTTCATCTTCCCCATAATCATAGAAGATATCTCATCGGTAGAAAATAACCTCTTTTTCCCATCAAAAGTTACCAAAATCCTAGGCTTTGTCATTGGCACCATCAGTAGGAGCATCAACAAGTAAGCTGTAAGAACTTTGGTAAGGGTAAATATGTTTGATAAAAGAAATCCAGTATTTAAGGGAGGAAAGTAGTTAAAGCTAAGGAAACAAGGCAAGCATCAGCTTATTAAAACTTTCTAATTAAAGAATAGTTGTTGTAGCTACTGCCTTGTAATAAGTGAGAGAGACCGGGGCTCAATTTTGTATATCTAATTTTTCTTTAGTATTTCATTTTCAATTCTCATGTAAATTACTCCATGATTCAGGTGAAAGAAGGCGAAACCGAAATCGAGGAAAATACGGATGCTGCATTGCATGAGCAACTTATATATTAATCTCTATAAACTTGCTCAAGCTCTCAAACCTTCCCCCAGAAAATCACATACTTCCTCCCCTGTACTCTTTTGCAATTGTCTTTTCGTTTCTTCTGTCAGTCTTTCTTCTATTTTGAAGACTTTTCTTTTTCACTTTCTTCAATTTCATATTTCTAATAACTAGGGGTGCTTATGAGACAGACAACTCGCGAGCTACTCGAGTTTGACTCAGTCAAAACTTGGTCAAAACTCGACTCGAGTGATCTCTACTGAATCTATCGATTCAATTGTGAGTATTTTTTTCGATGTGACTGAAATAACAATAAATAAACTTTTACCAATAAGTTTATTAATGACAAGATTTGATATTGCATTCAAGAAATTAAAGATAAGTTGTGTAAAAAAAATAGAGATAGGCATTGTGTCATAACAAAAGGATAAAAAAGTCAAAAAATACTCTATCATCTATAATCACCTCTCCTTTAATTATCATATAGCCCAAGATAATGTCAACAACTTATTATTGTTGTCTCGTAATATGCGTGACAAAGTATTGATCTTCGACCATCCTCCGTAATACATAGTATAATGCCCCCTTTGTTTTTTTAATAGATAATGACCTTTGTTTTTTTTAATGCATCACTGGACTTTTTCATGACGAAAATAGTTCGACAACTTTATAAGATTGTTGTGAGTATGGCGTTCCTAGATCCCACAATTACACATATAACATTGGGGGCACACACAAGAAAAAAAAAAGCATATATAATCAAGAAAAAATGTGTAAAATTTTTGACATAACAATCAAACCTTGTCCACTACTTGTTCTTGCAACTGCAGTAATCCATGATGCCACATTAGTGATAAACAAACCATAACTCCTTTTTGAGCTTGAGCGATGATACTTTACAAACGTACAAGAGTTACTTAAATATCCGGATATCCTGCTCAAGTGAATGAGTCATGTGCATAAAATCAAGCAGGAGATGGTAACTCATGAATTTCAATTCAACAACACCCTTTTTAAACTCAAAATATTTTCTAACAAAACTCAGACGTTTCGCTGACCCAGCTCGGTTTGACCCAAAACTTTTCCCACCTCTTGAGGGTGATGGGGGATGACTCCCACAAGTCGGGTTGAATTTGAGTCAGGTTAGTAACGGGTCGGGTTGAATTCTGGCCGGGTTAGTTATAGGTCGGGGTTGGTTTCAAGTTTAAACGAGTTAAAACGGGTTTGGGTCGGGTTCGGTTCAAGTCAATAATTGGCGGGTTATGTTCAGGTCGGGTCATATCAAAACGAGTCATGTTCGGGTTCGGGTCTCGAATCCTAAAGTTAACTTGGGTCTCGGGTTGGTTTCAGGTCGGGTCATGATCGGGTTCGGGTAAAATATTCGGGTCGGGTCAGCTTTTGACAGCTCTACTTACCACTACTACAAATATTTTTAGACCCTATTTTTTATGTTCTTATACACCACTTTTAATACTTTAAAAAAATAGTCTAATTTGTTTCGCGCGCTTATATGAATTTAGCTAGTACTGTAATATATATGTATATATATATAGAACCTTAGGTGGTGATAAGACCTAAAGTGGTGTAGTTACCTACAGTCAACTTATGGAATCGGTGGATCCAATACCCAGGGTGGTTAAAGAACATTGGTAGTGGTAGGACCTAAAGTGGAGTAGTTATCACCCTAGGTAAATACACCGGTTCCTAACACCACCCTAGAAACTGGAATCACCCTAGGTAAATAACCTATAGTTGATTATCCGGTTATGAACCTAAATTAAGCTAATTATATCCTAACTAATAGAGAAAAACATCTAGAGTGAGGGAAATTACTAGAGAAAAAAATTGATGAGTGGAAAGGGCCTAAGATCGGAGGTGGATAAGGAACGTGCATGAGTGGAAATGGCCTAAGGTCTTACTAAAGAAAAACATCCAGACTGATGAAAAAAACCCTACAAGAGGAAAAGCATTCGGAGTAACAGAAAACCTTCAAATAACTATAAATAAGCTAAATTAAGCTAAATTAATAACAATAAACACAATTAGATTAAGCATGAAACATTTAATACTAGTGTGCACAATCTAGTGGGTAGAGGCTAAACATTAATACTAGTGTGCACAATCTAGTGGGTGGAGGCTAAACATAAAATTCAAGCATATAATTAGTTCAATATCCGTAAACCATAAAAATCAAGCATAATTAAATAGTACTAGTTAAATCACTTTCACTTCCCTCCACATTTTATATGAACCTGATGTCAGAGGTTATGAACTAGGCTCCATCACAAAACCAAAAGGGTACCTGAAAAAAACAGCATCAAGGGAAAGCAAGCAGGACAAGGAATTAGAGCACCATCCACTGTAGCTTCCCTCACAACAACCAAGACAGAAGCTAACCAACTACATTAGTTTGCATCAAGATAACAGGTAGCAGAAGCCAGAACATACGCCAACAAAGCAAAACAATCAAGAAAAGCAGCAGATAGCAGACCATATGTTAGTGCATTAACTACTAACCATCACTAAACAGCATCCCAATTGTTGCAGCACCCGCAAACAAATGTGCAGCAACAGGGAACGCCAAGTAGCAGCAACCAAGTTTGCATCATACACCTTCACAACCATCAGAAGTAGCAAACAAGACAACAGTAGCAAAGAAAACAACTAGAGTTACATGATAAAAGTTCATACTAATGATAAAATTTCATAATAATAAGTTCACCACCATCACTTCAGCACCTAAGCATAAGTTCACCACCATCACTCATTGTGCTCAGCACCTAAGAATCTCGTCTTGATATCATCTATCAGTTTCTCTTCGGTTAATGTCAAGATATAGCCTGGTGCATAGTTAGTATGTCCCTCCAACCAGTCAATAGCCACATTAGCCTCAGTTACGTCAATTATATTCCTCTTAACAAGGTCAGCAATCATCATTGAGATTTTGAATTCATCCGTAAGAGCATTTGCATTTTGAGAAGCTGAGCCAGAGCCATTGCCACTGCCACTCCCGACCACCCTAGTTCTGGTTGTTGTTGCTGTTGCGAAAATACCTTTCCTTGGGAGAAGAACTCGATGGCCACAGTTCTCGCAAGGGCCAAATGCATCATTAATCTTGTCCGGCTTTACCTTTTGCCGCAAGATATAAACAAGAGTCACATAATATTGTACCAATGAATTCATTGAATTGAACCAACAAAGCCTTAGCTTTATTTAGGTGTATTTTTCCTCTAAAGTATTACAAACACAAATCCTTAATAAATTCAAGATAACCACTTTGCACAATTTATACATATTTAAACTACCAAGATCAATTCACCAACACTCATGCATAAAAACTAAGCCAAAATTTAAGAAAAAATTCAAGAAAAATTCCTCCATAATTTCGAACAGATTTTCGCACAAATGGAGGGAATCTCGACTTGTTTAAGCCATCTAATCCAAGCTGGTTTTGACCCTTTAAGTTTTAATTGCAACTGACTTGCACCGACCCGCCCCGACCCTCCCAATAACAAGGTCTACTGTCAACACCATGCTACCATCCCCACTATCACTACCCACCCAACTACTAAAGCCACCATTACTACCCACAAAACATGCCACCACCATTACTATAAATGATACCATCCCACAGCCATTGAAGCGCAATCACCCACCAAAACCAACCATCAATTACCCACCAAAACTAGACACTGTATCTTACTGGTGCACAACCTTAAAACTGTGTTTTCCAGTTGTATCAGATAAATTCTAAGTACTCAGTTTGTGACAAAAAGCTTCAAATTTAAGAAGCTTCAAACCATCCCACAGCCATTAAAGCGCAATCACCCACCAAAACCCACCAAAACCGTCCCACCCACCCACAACAACCATATACACCCAACGAGCCACCACAAAACCAAATCAAGCAACAAATATTTAAAAATTTACCACCCACAACTTGACAATCACATCTAAATATTCAAAATCAAGAGGCAACAAAAAATAATAATTTGAAGAGCAAATTAACTACGCAAAATCAAGCAATTGCAATTTAAAGGCATAATTGATGGCATGCAGACATAGGGTAAATATATACATAAATAAATCAATTAAATTTCAACAAATTAAAGAAGATTTCAACATAACTTACCCCCCTATCCATATATGTTTTCTGCAACGAAGATACCATGTTGAAAGCATCTCTTTTGTCCATGCGTAAACATTGAATGTTGAGGCGACGGTTGACCTCATCGGCGATTGCTTCATAGATGTTCTCCTTTGTGTAATCAGCTATTACACCGTTCAGTACCCCATACTCAGGGTTGTCTTTTGAAGACCTTATTAAGATTAGGACATCAAGAATTGCATTTATTTGTTCCACTGATGGTTCTGCCATTTCTATTTCCTCTTCTTCACTCTCTGAAAGAATGTTCTCTTCTTCTTCTTCACTCTCAGTTCTCCCCCACTCTTCTTCACTCTCAGTAATCCCCCCCTCTTCTTCACTCTCAGTTGTCCTTCTCTTTTGCCCAATAAATGTGTTTTTATTGGTGTTTTCAAAAACTTTAGTATCAACTGCTAACATTTTGAGTGTTAGAAATAAATTGAGTATGTATTTGCTATAAAGAAAATTGGTCTCAATCAAATCAATTTTACAATCCGTCAAAAAGTACAAAAAAAAATCAAAACCTAGAGATAGAAAGAGCGACAAAGGAATAAATGTTGATATTGGGAACTGAGGCTATGCATGCAGAAGCAGCTTAGCTTGAATCATCAAATCAACTTTATCAGTGGTAGTTGAATTCCATTAAAGGACACAGAAGGAAAGCCAGCTGTTTGTGGAGTTGAATTCAATTGAACTCTCGATTGTATTGGTACATAGATTCTCGGTTCTTTAGTATTGGAAAGATAAGGGTACAAAAAACATCACACAAAAAAATAAGGACGAGGACACGGGAGTATAATAATAATAGTAAAATATACGGAGTATATTTTTTCATTATTAAATTATATTAGAAAAATATACATTGAAGAAGAAAAAATAATTTTAAAAATTAGATTATGCACTATGACGTTAATATCTATAAATATAGAAAATGTTTTTGATGTTTATTTCTCTTTTTAAGCTGAATTCACAAATTTCACAAATTATAATATTCCCTCCGATTTTTAATATTTTGGGCATTTACTATAACGGGTCGGATCCATAATTGGCGACTCTAATGGTAGAGCTGTCAATTTGGGTAAATGGGTCAGGTTTGGGTCGGGTCAATATTGGTCGGGTCAATTTAGGTCGGGTCAGTTCAGGTTAATGGCGTAACATATCCGAGTTGGATTCGGGTTTGGTTCATATATGAGTCGGGTCATGTCGGGTTATACATCTTATTAGGTTTGGGTCGGGTTACAATTGGGTCGGGTTAAATTTAGGTTTTAACGGGTTAAAATGAATTAGGGTCATTATCAGGTTTAAGTTGGGTACTCGGGTTTGGTTCAAGTCAATAATTTGCGAGTTATACTCAAGTCGGGTCATTTTCCGGTCGGGTCTTGTTCGGGTTCAAGTCTCAAAGTTTAGGTTGATCTGGATCTCATATTGATTACAAATCGGGGCATGTTCAGGTTCGAACCTCAAATGTCATGTTAATTTGGGTCTCGGATTGATTACAAGTCGGGTCATATCGGGTTCGGGTACATTTTCGAGTTGGTTTATTTTCATTTCATGAATATATGTTCACATTTAATCATTAGCAAGTCCTTCATTTCATTTATTATAGGAGATATAATTTCTAATAAATTCGTATTCGAGCCAATAAGTTAAAATTTGAGTTGTTTTAGTAACAGGTAGGGTTGAATTTGAGTCAGGTTAGTGACGAGTCGGGTTAAATCAAGGTAAAAAACCAGCACATTTTTTCTTCCGGAATCCTTCTTATCAAGACCATAAGCAAATGCAGTTGTAGTTGGCTCGTTGATAATATGAAGCATGTTTAGGCCAGCATCCTTAATTTCCTGACGCTGCAAGTTATTGAAATAAGCTAGAACAATGATGACAGCATCCTTGACATTCATACCTTAAACTTGGCTACCTCCTCGGACCTGAAATTAAAGGGAAAAGAAAGATGATATGTGTATGCTACTACTCAAAATATAGATAAACAGACTACAAATTACTTTTGCAAATTACATCATAGCTAAGACAGAGATATTTGAGAAAATCTCACCTGACTTCTTCACTCTTCTTCTTCTTCTTCCTCATTTTCCTCTTGTTAGGATTGACATGTTCTATAGAGTATGTGAGACGGTAGATAGAGTTTTTTTTCCTCTTTCCAAGAACGACAGGAGTAACTAATGAAGATAAACACTGAGTTTTTAGTGGGGGAACGCAGGTACCGATAGATCGACGTAGCCTTCTTGGAATTAGCCCGATAAGGATCCCCGAAAGGGCGATCGTGGGCAACGTCAGACGGTGATACTCGGTGATCCCTTTCGGGCGACCCGATACTCGTTGGAAGACAGAGACTCTGATGGGGCAAATATTGGACTCTAGGGGTGCGTGAATTTTGGAGGCCTGGCTCAGCGGAGCCCGCGTTAAACTTAATTTCGAGCGGAACATGTAATATCAGAATTAACTGATGACTAACGTGTGGTGCCTACCTCACGCGGTGCTTCGAGCTGGCCCGGCTCAGCGGAGCCCGCGTTAATCTTAATTTATATAACTCGAAAGATTATTATTGAAAGTTATGCCCTCTTGAAGTAGACCCATCCAATTCTTCCTTCCTTGCCTCTTGTTTTCTTTATTCGGCTTAACTTGGCTTGCACTTAGGTCACCTTCCTTGATTCGGGAACTCCAAAATTACCATGAAATGCATTAAAACACGTGTCCAAAAACAAGAATAAGTAACTAAGACAACAAATGAAACACGAGAGTGAAAGGAACATAAAAATGCATCAAACCTAACATAAAGCATACAAAAACCATGCAAATCAACTCCAATCACTCAAGTGAGCCAAACAAACATTTATTTATTGAAACATGACTAAAAAGATAAACATAACAAGAATGGACCAAAATAAGACTAAAACTAAGCTATAAAACTATCCTAAAAAGTGTCTTAAATGACACTTATCAAATTCCCCCAAGCTTAACTCTTGCTCGTCCTCGAGCAAGACAAAACAAAAGCAAAATATAAAGGAGGTTAACGATTGTACACTAACTCACTTTCGTAGGAATCACGGTCACTTTTAGCATAAGTGACAAGCCATTTAAACCCCAAAGTCGCCTATGAGGACGAGTGTGCTCTTGTAAGGGTTTCCAAAGAGATTGACCCATAACTCTCAACAAAAACCAAGGCAAGGAAAAAAAGAAAAACAAAGAAAAAGAAAAAAAAAACACAAAAAAGTTCTTATTTGGACAAGGAGATCGGAACAAGTACCAAAGGATGCAAACCTTTCTAGCTCAATAGTTGTATGCACGTTCTAAGATGTCAATGGTTGATTGAAACATAAAACATACTAAGCATAGAGAACTAAAGGAGACTCAATCTACCCTCATTCCAACCATTCTTACCGCGTTCTTTCCAATAGTTTCAAATCAACCCGAATAATACAAATTAAGCACATATGAGAAGGGTATACCGACATCTTAGCCATGCACACTATCTCAATAGGCTTGAAATCCATCTCCCGCCACCGGATTGACTCAACCCTCAAGGGTCTAAAGGTCTTTATTGGGTTGTAACGTTAGTCTAGGGGTCAAGGTGGGGCAAAAAATTTGAAAAATTTGGTGGTATTTCCTAAGTGAAGCAAAAAGGGTGATCAATCCTCAAAAACACACTCTAGAAGTCCTAAATTTCAAACAAAAGTTTTTATATTTATACTGGTAATTCCCATTTTATTTTTGGTGTTTATTTCCAATATTTTGTTAATTGGACTTTTTTTATAGAAAGAAGGTAATTCAGTATTGTAGGAGGAAACAGAAAATGGATTGATCGTGGTATTGTAGAAGCAAACAGAATATGAAAATCTGCTATTAAAGAAAGGAGAGAGAAGATTAGTGTTCTTGTTTGAGAAGACAATATGGGATGAGAGATGAAGGAGAAGAAGAACTAAGATGATTTAAGAAAGAGAAATTGTATGGACTAAAGATAGTCAACTAAACTGAACGTTTTTCCTAAAAAAACTAAACTGACCGTTGCTACTTTTCAGTTGAATCCTGCCGCCGGAGTCAATTCTAAACCAACAATGAAAAACCACGCCGCCAACAATGAAAAACGGAGCGTGCGGCGTGGCCTTACTTATTTTTTTTTTATATAATAATTCATATGCAGACAATTAATACTGCACATATCTTAGAGAATCCAAAAAGGAAATTAATGCTTCAGTCAAAAAATCTAACTCTTGTTTATGAGTTGTGCTAACCAAAAAAACTATTTAATAAATACCGTGGAGTACTTTATATATAAATTTGTTCTTTTTTTTTAACTTTTATTTACATAAGATTTATAAGCAATAAAAAGTCATTAACATTGGTATTCATATACTATTATACATAAGTAACATATATTTTATACTTATATTATAACAAAAACATTAAGGTTAATACATGTATGAAGAAGAAGAAGAAGAAGAAGAAGAAGAAGAAGAAGAAGAAGAAGAAGAAGAAGAAGAAGAAGAAGAAGAAGAAGAAGAAGAAGAAGAAGAAGAAGAAGAAGAAGAAGAAGAAGAAGAAGAAGAAGAAGAAGAAGAAGACGGCCCATTTGTGTGTGGATAACGGTGGTGCATCACAGATTGCACTTTGGAAAGAATCCAATACAACTCTACAGGTCCAATTATATGAAAGACCCATAAAAACATAGGGGTATATAAAGCTCTTGCCAATTGTTTTAGGGTAGAGAAGTGACAGAACTAGCCGCGTCTCAAATGTCTAACAGTAAATTTTTGATTGAAGAACTTATGATGAAGATTCACGCACACACACGCACACGTACGTGCACACTCACGCACACACACACACACACGCGCGCACGCGCACACACGCACACACACACGCGCACACGCACACGCACACACGCACGCACATGCGCACACGCAAACACGCACGCACGCACGCACGCACGCCCACGCACACACACACTTGTAGTCATCCGACACAGGGTCATAACCAAACCCAAGGTCCTGCCTCCTCTCACCCGATGGAAAATAGATTTTTGTGGAAAAAATGGGAGGAGTTTGTGTTTTTTGGGTAGTGGGGTTGTACAAGAAAATCGTGAAGGGATACATGATGAATCAAAGCAAGCCGAGGCATGAACTAGCAACATAAACATGACCCTTGCATTCAAGCCAATTAATCAAATTAGAAACAAAAGGTGCACACATTCATTCCCATCAATCTAACATTCATTCTATGATTCAAAACCAAATTATTCAATCTTTCATCATTTATTCCACAATCCAACCCTTCATCCCCTTCCCCTAGCTTAAATATCTAATCTAGGATGAAGAAAATAAACATGATCATAAACTCAAAAAAGGAAACATTCATCAAGAAAGAAAATATGATTAGCAAAATTAAAATAAAACAAAAACTCAAGATCATCAACAATCAAATAAGAAAAATAAGAAAAATCTGAAAAATAGACAAAACTAAATAAGATCAAAGGGGAAGAAATGTTACTAATATTGATAGAAGAAATTGCAATGAAGATCCAAAATAATCCAATCTTGCTTGCATAAAAAGCCAATGAAATTAAGCTAAAAGTGCAAAAGTGTTTCTCTCTCTAACTATTGTACTTTCTCTCTCTAAGTACCAATATTGAAAATTAAGTAAATGAAGTTGTTGGCAAAAATCTGAAAATTAGTTCCTTAAATACACCCCAAAACCACTAGGCATCAAAGCATAAGGAGCTGGGTCGCGCCACGCCCAGCCAGCCAGCACCACGCCTGGTCTGCGCGC